CCTCAACCCCCCAAACCCAAATGATCCCCAGCAGGATTGCTGGGCTTTAGGGTTGGATGGGCACATACGTTTGGCATATCTTAGCAGGGGGGTGTCGCTGTATCTGAGCCAGGGGTACACTTCTGAAAGCACAGCTCCAACGGCTTAGGCCGGATAGAGTTGCTACGACGTAGTCTAGTCTTGAGTCTCGGGTTGAAAGGTTTAGGGTTTGGGTTTGAAGCTGTTTTGACCCAAGCATCGAGCCGATGCTGACTAAACCCTAAACCCTAAATGACTGAAAACTATGCTGGACACATTTTACTTGAGCCAAATCGTCAGGTCGGTAAGCACTATGTGGAGGCGATAATTTCATCACCCCTCCTTCTGTACATGGCCAGCATTTGCTGGTTAGGTACAGATCCTACTCTACTAAGTGCTTAGCTCCTAACGCTCTGCCTTCAACGAACCTTTGGTTCATGAACGACATTAATTTCTCACAGCTTTCCCTGGTCATTGGCTTGGTCATCAAGTCGGCAATGTTGCTTTGAGTGTGCACTTTATTCAGCAACACTCTTTTGTCAGCAATCTTCTCTTGCAACCAAAGGAATCTGGTTTGCACATGTCGCTGCTTGCCGAGTCCCCTCCGGCTTGCAGTACCAATCGCTGCCGTGGAGTCTGTTCGGACTTCCAGTCGTACTGGATATCCCCAGTCTTCCAGCAACGCTTGGATAGACATTCCCAACGCACATGCCTTCGTGGCTGCGTAGTATTCCGATTCCCCGCTGCTAAGAGCAACGGTAGATTGCATGTTGCTGCTGTGCTTAACACAGTGTCTTCCGAACATTACAGCTAACCCTGTCGTAGACCGTCGGGTCAGTAGGCAGCCAGCATGATCTGAATCGCAGAAAACAGTGAGCTTCTCAGGCATCTTCTGCGCTTCGAATCTAGTCTGGACTCTTGGTCTGCCCTTTAAGTAGCGTCCCAAACGCTTCAGATCTGAAAGATCTTGGTCCGTAGGGTTCTGCATCTTTCGTGTAAGACACTTAACTGTCTCGTTCAGGTCAGCTCGGTCTTGTGCAAGGAACTGTGCCCTCATCACCAAGCTTCGGTAGAACGTTGCACGTTCCCGATTGACTGGTGGCAGGCCATTTGCTGCCAACACGTCTGTTAGTTTCTTTTTCTCGTTGGGAGTAGCAACAGCCTTGGCCGATTCCAGCCCAAGCTGTTTAACAATCATCTCTGCATGCCGTGGGTCGGCTTCAAAGGTAATCGTTCCACTCTTCTTGTCCAATGTGATCAACCGATTCAACACGGTAACATGAGAGTCGTCAGACTCATCCATTCCCATGTATCCATCGGTGCGAAACTCGTAACGTTTCTTGAGCACTTCCTTCATGAAGCTTTGGCCTTCATCATCCCCTAAAACGAAGAAGTCGTCTCCATGTACAAGCAGGGTCAGGTCTTCCCCGCTGTGTCTGAAGACTGACGGCCATGCCTTTCCGGTGGTGAACGAATGTAAGCTTAGGAGTTCACTGTAATCGCTTTGCCACACATGGCTGGCATCCATTGTGCCGTACATGCTCTTGAGCAATAACGCACACATTCCTGGTTCTTCGTCTCCAGGTGGTAGTGTAACGAAGATCTTTCGCTTTGCGACTCCGTAGAAGTGTGCTCGGCTTATGTCGTACAAGGCTAGCTTGAGTGGCTTGCCTCGTTTGCTTGTCTTTCGAGAAACCGCCAAGCTGCACAGTAGCTTGGCTGCCTCGAGTGGAGGCATTGAACTTGTGCTTTCATGCACTGGTAGTGCTCCATGTTGTTTCTTGATTTCTCGTACAACCAATCTGCTTCGATAGTTCTCTTTGATCTGGTCTCCCTTGTTCCGGTCCACCCACTTCAACGTGATGGGCTCCTTTCCAGTTTCGTTGTGACACTCCTCGAGTGGCACCTTGGTGTACACCTGGGCTTTGTGTACCCAGTCCAGTTCTTCTCTCCTCGCTTTTAGCACTTTCTCAAGTTCCAACTGAACTCCTGTTACAGAGTCGTAGACCACCTCTTGGTCTTCCGTTTCAGGAAACCATCCCTCGTAGTATTCTTCCTTGTGGTCTTCCTTTTCGTGCGGCGTCGGCCCTGCGCCGACGGCACTGACATGTTCATCAATCTCTCCATCAGATTCCATCTGGGCCTTGAGGCCTCCCACGATGGCACTGATCTGGAGAATGCTGTGCATTTGTCGTGGTCTCCTTTCCATCGTCTTCACTGGTCGTAGTCTCTCGGCTATGTCCTTGCTGTTGGTGATCCACGTCACCGGTTTTCTTCTGTAGCCTCCTTCTTCATGTAATTTGCACTCCGTGTGTATCTTGTACACACCGTCTTCCTTTAGGAATCTTTCCACTTGCTTCGATTGCTTTCGTTCTTTGGTTCCCACTTGTTCATGCAGGAAGTACTTCCCTCTTTCTTTCTGGAAGGAGTATAGCTCGACGGCTGCAGACAGCGGTTTCCTTCCATCACCTATCAAGAGGTAGGTGTTTTCACGCGTAAGTGTGGCCTGTAACGTGAGCAAGTCTTTCTCCAGGTTCCAGGCTTCGCCAGTGTCTCTTTCCCTTTCTAGTTCAAGGATGTACCCCTTGGGCAATCCGAAGAACCTTGCGGTTCCTTCTTTGTTTCGAACGGCTTCAGCGTCCGCTCTTTTCAAACCCAATGCAGATGCTCCGGCGCAATTTGTAGGTTGCTTACCTCGTAAGCTTCGGCTACTTTCTTCAGAAGCATGTTTGTTTGCTTCGTAGTGACATCGTCCAAGGGCGTTGCCCCTCCTGGGGTCGCAGGGCTCCAGAACTGTTCGTGTGAAAGATTCGACCCGGGGGCGGCTGACCCCGATCCTCCTCCTATCTGCACATTAGGAGTTGGCGCTCCCTCGACCGAAACAGTCTGAGGGTCGGCGCTCTCTTCCCCTTCATGGTACAGATCATCAATTGTCGTGGAGCTTTCTCTTCGCGTGCCTCTCTTCTCGGCATCCTTCTTTCGCTTTGTTTCAGGTGTGCCCGATACTGTGCTGTCTTTTCTTTTCGGCGAACTAGGAGGTTCACCTCCAGTCGCGGTTCTTGCAGAGACTTCCATGTCTTCTGGGTCTGGTTCTCCACTGACCTTTAATTCCTTGGTTCCTGTGGCACCTGGTGTTTTCTCGCCTTCGGCCTTCCTCTTCCTCTCATCTTCCAGCCTCAGCTGTCCTTCCTCCGTGTCCGCAATCTTCTTTCGAATGCGCTCTCTACAATGTGGGTCATGTGTGACCGCCGGAAGTCCCAACATGATTGCGTGACAACCAGGACATCCCGGAGTGAAGTCGTCACTCCCGTCCGGCTTCTTCAGGTCCTTTCTTCTCACGTAGAAATTTCTTGGTCCTGAATCTCTTGGAATCGGAGTAAGCTTTTCTTTGCTTTCAGGAAGCTTGATCACCACTGTGGTGTCCACATCTTCTTTGTCCCTTAGGTTGGGTCTCAATTTCCGCGGGGCTCCCAACAACTTGTCGAAATTTTCTTTCTTCCATCTTTGTCCCTCGGGCATCCTCTTCACACTGGTGCCCTTGTACACACCAGTCTCTGTCATGCAGAGGACGTCTGCGTTCCTTCCATGGGTGCCCACGTATAGGCCCTCAAGTACCTTGGTTTCCAGGTCTCCGCCCTTGCGGTAGGCTTCCAGTGGTCGAAACCACACTCTCTCTCCGAACTGGACCATTGGCCTTTTCCACTTTCGGCCTGTCAGCCTCGTGTACGGGGTTCTCCCGTCATCGCCAATTTTGAACCGACTCAAGCAGAAGGTGGCGTGTCTGGACAGCCACAAGAGCAATGGATGAGATGGTTCTATCTTACCCAACTTCTCTCCAAGCTCGCTGAACAAAGCACGCGACTGCCGCTTTGTTTCTCGCACAGCTATTTCAGCCAGTCCATTGGCTTGTTTGTCGCCAGTAGGTCCCTCTTGCAGGACGATTTCAATTCCCCGCACTTCAGCCTTGACGGCAGCCTTCACAAGCCCCATCACAATGCCAGGCGGCTGTGCAATGAAAGGCGCAACCAACATGGCCCCAATCACGACACGCAAATCGGTGTCCGCCTTCGCCAGGTATGCTCGCTGGAGCATGTGAGGAGTGACTGGCGCTGCCAACCTCACTTTTCCCACACTCGAGGAATGATCGCTCTCCTCCTACCCTAGTAAACGGGTCAAGAAACCCAGTGGTGATCACAAGAAAAATAAATCTAAGTCTATTCTGTCTATTCTTGCCATTGCATTGATTGAGCGGCATGTTGAAAAGGAAGAAGAGGATGTCACAGAAATCAGACCTGCTTGGGAACGCGTAGAAGTCGGGACGCACAGCAGCAAGGCAGCCGGATGGTAGACAGTCACTCCCGACGCAGTAATCAGGCGCCGACCGGGGACTTGTTGTGTTGGTGGACACGTGGACAAGGTACGCGCAGTCTTTGGGTGCCATCTCTTTTCCTTCAGGGCTTTGATGGAATTTTCATTGTCTGATTTCAAGATCAGACGCTGGTACCCCGTTTCCTTCAGGCAATTGATCAGGAAGTTAACTGCGTAGTCGTCTGCTCCTTTCTGTGGGACCGCGGAGGCCCACACGCACTTGCTCTTGCTGTCTTTGACTTGCAAGTTAGCAGTGTCCTTCTTTTCTTCGCTGTACCAGAAGTAGTCGATTGCGACCACAGGTAGTGATCCTTCTTCCTCGTCTTCATCTCGGGCGGAACCATGCCGATGCAGCGTGGTTCTAGCCCTCACGCAGTGTCCACACCAGGACCGGTGCACTGCGTGCGAAGTGGCGAGGTGTTCCTCGACCTCCTCCCTCGTGGGGTCTTTCGGACTTCTGGCAACTTTGGCTTTTGCAACTTCGACTCCGTCTCCTTCCTTCTCTTCGCCTTGTCCAACTTCTTCCGCTTCTCCGGCGTTTACTTCTCTCTCTCTCTCTCTCTCTCTCTCTCTCTCTCTCTCTCTCTCTCTACTCTTCTTCTTTCCTACCGAACCCTTTAAACTACTGCTACGGCTACTGGCAGCGGCCATTTTGCCGCTACTGCCTGCTGCTCCAGTGCTGCTGGACTCTTGCCAGCTTTGGGTGAAACGAACTGTGGGCCTTACAGACTCACGCCTTGCCCCGCAAAAGGGGTCTTGGGCTTCGCAGCCCACTGGTGGAAAACGTACACTCCCTTTTCCTGGTGTACTGGAGTGAAGTACTCTCCACTTCTCCCCTTCTTTTCTTCTTTTTCCTTTTCTTCTTCCAGAACCTTGCGTAGCCTGTCGTACGCTGGAGTGTTCTTGTGCACCATCACTCCTCCATCCTCGTCAAGCACGATGAGGCTGTGCTTGGCGACGCTGCTCCCGGCAGCTAGAGGTCGATGCACATCCGCAACGTGCGCTGTCACGGCGACCTTGCGGTAGGACTCGTTTAAGCCCTTCAGTTGCACCTTTCCTTGTGAGTTCAGGAGTTCTCCTGAGGCTGTTTTAAACCTCACTTCTCCTCCTGCCACGCTTTCGCCGAGTGTTTTCGCCAGGTCCGTGGGTACCACGCTTGCGGCGGCTCCCGTGTCCAAGTTCCAGGTGACCTTGTCACTTGCACTGTGCCCGGCTCCACCTAGGCTGTTCAGGTCCCTGAGTGGCGTTCTTCCTTTGCCTTTGCCCTTTTCTCTTCCTTTGTCTTTGCCTTTGTTCACAGGGCTGCGGCTCCGGCTCCTTCGTCGCCACGGCGCTCGCTCTATCTCTTCCTGGACTCGCGCCTGGCTTCCTGGCGTAGCAGCGCGTGTTCCCCAGGGCCTGGTGCTTCCACCTTTTGGGGGTGTCTTCGGAGCTGCAACCTTCCGAGGAGTCTTTGGCGCCGGTATCGACGTTGGTTTCGCCTTCGGGGTCAGCACCCTTACCGACGTCGTGACCTTAGCGTTCGACGCCATTGCCTCACTTGCGGCTCGCCGCTGCGCCATTTGCTTGCGCAGAAGCTCTTGGCTTTCCTTGGCTTTTGCTGCGCGGGCCAGGTTTTCCGCGTTCCTTTTGGCTTCGTAAGCCTCCTCTTTCTCCTCCGGTTTTCCTCTCTTTCTTCGGCGAGCGACTCTGGAGTAGGCATCTTTGGTGGTGCTTTAAACGTCGCCTTTGCCTTGGCCACCGGGGGCGCCCTGGCGATCGTCAGGGGTCTTTGTGCCGGGCCAGCTTTGGGCTTCACCTCGGGCTTTGTCTTTGCCCTTGGAGCCTCCTCGGCCGAAGCAGCCTGAGGAGTCTCCGTGCCCTTACGCTGTTCTGTTTCCTTCTTCGGAGCGGTCTGGAGGGTCTCTACGTTCTTCTGCTGCTGCTTTACTTCTTTCTTTGGAGCGGTCTGGAGGGTCTCTACGTTCTTCTGCTGTTGCTTCCTCACCTCCTTTTGCTTCTTTCTTTGGTTGGCCTTTCTCCGTGCCAAGGCTTCCTTCGACCTTTGGGTCCCCTTCGGGTTGGTACTCTTTGAAGCCTTTGGCTTGTTCAGGAGGGCTATCTCGTCTTCTTTCAGCTCCTCCTTGAACCTTTCAAGTTCCTCTTTGGTCAGGGCCTTCCTGACTCTTTTCTTCTCTGTTGCTTTTGCTCCCTTTGCAACTTTCACACTTCCCGAGCTTTGTCCTGGAAGCAACACCTCAGTCTCGATGCCTTCTGCATCTAACTTCTCGTTGTCTGCATCTTGGTAGTCCTCGTCTTTTCTTTCGCCTCGGTTTCGAAACTCCTCCAGCCATCTTTCTTCTAGCTCCCTTTTCTTTTCAGCTCTCTCTGCTGTTGTCCTCATTCGAAAGAGAGTGGCTCGACGCCTCTTCTTTTCTTGCATCCACGCCACTCGCCGGTGTACCCCAGCTTCCAAGGCCTTGTAGTAACGGATGTCGTGGAACGAGCTATCCGTCCGGTTGGCTTCGGTGAGCTTTGTTGGTCTGTTCTGGTCACTCGAGCGGATGTAGCCCTTAAGGTCCTTAATCCGCTCCAGCACTTTCTTCAGTTCTTCCTCGGCCTGGTCGTGGGTGTCTGGATCCTCGGCAGTCTCGGCTTGCAACTGCAGCTCGTCCCTTCGATGGCACAGTCTTCCCAACTCCAGGCTTTCCACCACACGGTGCATCATCATTGAGCTCGATGAGCCCACGGTCCTTTGGCCTGGGAGGTTCTCAGGCTTCTTTTCCTCAGGCTCCTCTGGCTCCTCTTGCGGGCTGAGCTCCTGCGCAAGGGTGGTGGCCACATCGTCGGCCTCCTGGTCGCTGGTGCCTTCGTCGTCTCCTTCGACGCCCTTTTCTACCTCTATCAGGTCATCTTCACACTCGTAGAGGCTTTCTTCGTCTTCGCTTTTCTCCATCTTTCTTTTCTTCTCCTTAGCTTCTTTCTTTTCTCTCTTTGCAGCAAGCCTTTCCCTTATTCTTCGAACTGAAGCTCGTGCAAAAGCACGAACGACACTATTGGCTCTTTTCTGTCGGTCGTCGCAGCTGCTGCAGGTTTCATCTAGGCCTGTGTTGCGTCGAAGCGTGTTTCTGTAAACAGCTTGTACCACGCTCCCTCTCATTCCTCGCGACGCTTCCTTTGCAGCCATTAACCTTTGGCTGTAGCTCAACGTCGGAGCTTCTCTCCAGTTTTCTTCCGCACCTTCGGCCACAAGTCTGTTGGCCCTTTTCTGCGCAAGGAGCCGGACGCTTTCAGGCACCCCTTCGAGCTTCGGTGCTACGACCGGCCCAGGGCTCGGGTTAGCCGCGGCCGAGGCAGCCGGCGGCTCACTCCGGTCCCTGGCTTCTAAGCTCTTGGCCTTTCCTGCTCCTTCCTTTCCTTTCTCTTCTCCCTTCCTGCGGCCCTTTTCTTTTCTCACAGGTGATCGGCCTCTTTCCTGCGGTGGTCTTTCTTTCGGCTTCGGGGCCATAGCGCCCAAGGCACGTGAGAAACTACGAGCGCTACTCTCGGCTACCCGGCTTTCCGCTGCCGAAACTGGCTGCGGACGTGCCGGCGTTACTCTCTCGCTCCCTCTCTCTCTTGGTCTCTATTCCCCGAACTCTTAGAGTCTCTCTCTTCTCTCTCTAGTGCCGCTAGGAGAAGGAATCAGAAGGAAGCCCGTTTCGGCTTCTGGTTCTTGCTTCGGTTCTTCTTCGTACTCTTCTTCTACTTCCTCAACATTGTTGGCTCCTTTCGGTCTCCCTTTGGCCTTTCCTTTTCCTCCTGTCTTTCCGTTTCCTCTTTTATTCTGGTCCTTGCCTTTGTGCCAACAATCCTTGGCCCAATGTCCGGGCTTTCCGCAGATGTTGCACTACCCCTTCTTTGTTCACTGTGTTTTTGTTGCTGTCCTTGGGACCTTCTTTTCCTTTGTGCCAGCAGTCTCGTGCCCAATGACCGGGCTTTCCGCAAACGTTACATTTTCCTTTGTCTTGTCCTTTGCTTGCATTGCCTTTCTTGCCACCTTTCCCGCCTTTCTTTCCACCCTTTCCACCTTTGTGGAAAGCACCGACGTCCATGGGATCACCGCCTGAAGGGCCGGCGTTTCCCGAACCGATCTTGAGCTTGATTCCGACTCTCGTTTCCAAGCACGATGCAATCTCTTCGTAAACATCCTCGAAGGTATCCAGTCTCTGTCTGTTCAGCTGTAGATGTTTCTCCAGCTCCACAGGACAGATGCTTTCTATGAGCGAGATCTTGATGTCGTTGGGAAGCTCGGATCTTCCACCGGCTCCTCTCCTGTCCTCATATCTCCGAACAAGTTCCATCCACTGTTCGAGGTAGGCCGAAAGCTCTGACAGCTTCTGCCTTTCTGGTGCGAGGATGTATCTTAACAGGGAGGTCTTTCTCCCACCAGTAGCTGGGTCGTAGCGACGGGCCAGCTTTCTCCAACCTTCAAGACCGTTACCCTTCAAGATGTTCCGAAGGATAGAGAAGGGCTCACCTTCAAGCAAGTTCTGTAGCAGCGCGTACACTTGTGCGACCTTGTGTTCCAATCCTTCAACCTCTCCTTGGGCACCTCCGGGACCGAATTCAGTCCGGATCTGTGCCATGCTAACGGTGGCTTCTTGTTCTTCAGCCCAAGCAAGGGGCTTCTCTAGCTCTGGAAACACCGAGAGGATGAAGCTTTCAGTTTTCATCTTCCAGTGGAGGTAATTGCCCTCGTCACCTTTGAACTTCTCGGGCTTTGCTACGCCTCGATTGTCAATGAGGGTCATCTCTTTACCTCTGCTCCTCACAAGTTCCTCGGTCATCTTTGCCTGACCTGTAGCAATCGTTTCCACCCAGGCTGTCAAGTTGGAGCTTTGTTCTATTCTGCTCTCCAAGACGGATTCTCGCTGTCGGCTGATGGTCAGTTCTTGTGTAAGCTCAGTCACTCTTTGCATCAATCCTTGTAACTGAGTCGTCACTTGTTGAAACTCTTCGGCGGTAGGGGTGGCTATCGTGACTGCAAGGAAAACACCTTCTACAGTCCAGGGAACTGGGCTCGAGGTTCCCCTGGATGGAGCCTAAAGCTCCGCTACCATGACTGAAAACTATGCTGGGCACATTTTACTTGAGACAAATCGTCAGGTCGGTAAGCACTATGTGGAGGCGATAATTTCATCAGTTTAGGGTTTCAGGCTTGGGGTGTTGGGGCTGTTAGGGTTTGTAGGATTCAGGGTCCGGGCGATTGGGGTTCCATTTTCGGGGCGGGCCCTTGTGTCTAGAGCACCCACGAAACAGCTTATGATTTGGAGAGCTGCTCGTCATCATCGATGAAGATATCGCCATTCTCTACTGCAAGGCTCGAATGTCGGGGGAAAGTTGTCGGGCATAGGGTTTTCGGGTTTGTTTAAGGTGTTTTTAATTACTATTTGCTGATGAACCACCCCCAAGAAGCATTCGTCCTTATAAGCGCCATATAGGACTTGTCATTCTGTACGTTTTTGGAGGTTCTTAAGCAAATAGTAGCTTAGGGCTTAGGGTCTAGGGTTTGTTCAGAGTTTGTTTTACATTTAGGGTTGCCGGCATGACATGTTCACATCTTGAAGTCAAGCCGGTGAGCCCCACACACCTAAAACCAGAAACCCTAAAGCCGAAAACCTAAACCCTAAACCCTAAACCCTAAACCCCAAACCCCAAGCCCTAAACCCTAAACCCAAGCCCAGAACTCTCAACCCTGAACCCCGAGTCCTTGCTCTGCAAATCTTGGCGAACCCCAATCACACCAACAACGCCTCCGAACTCTGGGGTTTAGGGTTTAGGGTCTAGGGTTTCGGGTTTAGGGTGTAGGGTGTAGGGTTTTAGGGTTTCAGGCTCTACGCTTCAAGGCCTACGGGTTAGGGTTTAGGGTAAAGGGTTTAGGGTTTAGGGCTTAGGGCTTAGGGCTTAGGGTTTAGTTTGTAAGCCCCCCACACCACCCAAACCCCCCACCTTGCTGGCACCCTTGGTCCTCAGCGCCTCGATGCCACCAGAGATCGGCGGGAGCTCCTCCTTGGTTCGGTGGCTGCTAGGATTGATCAGGCTTGGGGCTTGGGCTTAGGGTTGAGGGTTGAGGGTTGAGGGTTGAGGGTTGAGGGTTGAGGGTTGAGGGTTGAGGGTTGAGGGTTGAGGGTTGAGGGTTGAGGGTTGAGGGTTGAGGGTTGAGGGTTGAGGGTTGAGGCAATTATTTAGGGTTTACAGGAGGTTTCCTTACTCGTTCTTGGCAGGGAACATGGAACTACGCACCTTCTATCTCCCCAATGTAGCCCTTTGAGGTCGTGTAGTATGCTACAGTATACCACAGGAGGTGCTTAGGAGGGTTCACTTGCTTACAGTCAGCATTCAAAAATGCTGTGAGAGAACGCTCGGCTGACCCTTGAGATTTGCGACAAATTGCGTTAGCAAGCATGCCTCTGTTGGGCTGTACACAGGTTTGCACAAGCTGGGAAGAGGGATCACTCATGAGCTTCCCATACTTTCCACACCTTGCCGGTGCCTGCATCAGCAAGACCCCAGCGAATTAGCCGGCCGACTTCTCCAATCTGTTGCAAACTATCCATGGCATGCCAAGATGCCAGAAGGCCAGAATTCGGATCAAAAATGAGTGAGTGCAAGTCTTGGTTGAACTTGTCAATGCCCGTGCTGTCTCTGATCCTGTTGAGTATTAAATCCTTGTCTGCTTCAGAGGACGCCCGCATGTTCTCAACGTCCAAGTTCTCTAATGTGCATGCACGTTGCACGATGGTCGCTTTGGACGCAAGCTTCAGTGTTTGATTCATGCACAGACGCCTGGCTTCTGCAATTTCGGCGACACACCAAGCACGACTAAACAAGTCCAGAAATAGAAATAGAATGTATGCGACGTCAACCTGTGCTTATGTAGATGCGGTTGGACGCCAAGTGGTCGCCACCATGCATCCGGCGTCAGAAGAAGCAACAGCCAGAAATCTCCACGATCTCGCCCGAAAGAAATCACAACGACCTCTCCCGAAAGCCCATCCCAAAAGTGCCAAAAAGGCAATCACCGAGAAGCGGTAGGCCGCCACGTGGTCGCCACCATACATCCGGCGTCAGCAGAAGAAAGAGCCAGAAATCTCCACGATCTCGCCCGAAAGAAATCACAACGATCCCTCCCGAAAGCCCATCCCAAAGTGAGAAAATGCACTCACAACCCCACAAAAAAAAAACAGCAGGGAAAGCCCACTGATACGACAAGCTCACGCTCGAAGGCCGTCCCTGATGGCGCCATACTTCTCTCGCAAGCGCACGGCGAACGGCTCGCTCTCCACCATCGCACGTTCAAGAACAGCTCGTTCCCACCTTCTCGCACGCCGAACCGCAGCAACGTCCACTTGCCATCCATCAGTGACAAAACCCAACTGTTTGGAGCACGCCTCATCCGCCAAGCGATTGAAGCGCCGGGCCATCGTTGCGCAAACTCCCGGAGGAGGAATCCAACTGGGTCGCTTGCCGTGGCTGGGAATCCAGTGCACAATCAAATCACCGAGGCCCGCGGTGACACGCTGCCAGAACGCAGCCAAAGGTCCAGCAAAATCACCACGAGCAGCACGCGCAATGCGCCTCACAGCAGCGTCATTGTCCGTGAGCACCACACCTTCGACGGCGATGCCTGCGGTGTGCGCAGCCAAGACAGCCAACGCATGACGTTCGGCAGCGGCCGGGGTCTGCTCGGGACCCGGGACCAATCCATGCACCACTATCTCCTGATTGCCCGCTTTCGCAGCAATAGCCCATGCCGCACGCTGCCAGTGCTCCATTCCAGCAGCAATCAAGCACCCACCATCCGTAGCACAGAAGAGCGAATCGCCGTTCTCACGCGCCAGCTGAATGAATTGCGCAAGTTCATCATCAAGCTCAACCTCCATGCCACCGTCCCTTGCAGCAAAGGGCACCACAGCCACAAGAAGTTTGCGCTCAGCCCTGGTGTACCCATCTCCCAAGCCCTGCGGAGCCAGCGGACAATCGAAAACCATATGCTCAGTGGGCGGCGCCTCCATCCCGCACTTGCACTGCGTCTGGACATCAACGCGCTGAAGGAGCCGTCCATCCACCACAGAAGCCGTAACCGCACGAAAAGCCGCCCTCGAGGAGAGGTTGACGATTCTCACATGCTCATCCAGTATGAGGGCACGCCTCCCAAGCGGCCCAGCTCCACCTGTGCGCCCATCGCCGTTCCACAGATCCTGGTGCCAGGCCTGCACAGCCGCACGCAGAAATGCATCCACTGTGTGCCACGCCGGCGAAAACGTGCCAAGCAAGGTGTGCACGTCCATGCCTCCTTCATCCGCCCAGCCCCATCTCGCGCAAACCTTGGCCCAAGCTGAGCTAGCCGCGTCTGACGTCGGATGCCCCATGAGCACTGCCGACCGTCGTCTCCACTCTGCACGAATGACCACCGCTGCAAAAGCAAAAGAAAGATCCAGCCACGGCCCACCCATAGCAGCCCAC